AGTGGTTTGGAAAATGGATAACGAGTAGAAGCTAGAAGAGTAAAGGTGCCTAATTAATAGTAAAAGCCTCAATGGGATGGCTTGAAAAGACCGCTGGTAGAATTTCAGACACCAAAGGCAATTCAGGTAAAGGCTGTGGAAGAAGGGAGGATAATATTAATACTGGGGATGACACAGGTGACAAGAAACAGCAGTGACAAAACCAGGAGACCCAGAAACACAGAGATGGAGATAGATACCGACACAAGGCAGCATGGGAGCTGATCTACAGAACAGGAGAACTGAGGGCCTTCGCAGGCAGTTTCGTGGAGGAATAGGCATTTCAGTACTTGTCAGTGGAGTGAGTCTTGCTAGCCCATAGAGCTAGAGAGCTGGCAGTCCTCCTGCTGAGATTCCATACGAGTTAAAGGAGAAAGCATATTTAACTAAATGAAAATGGAAACACAACATTATCAGAATTTGTTAAGACAGCAGGAAAGCAGTCCTTGGAATATTTATAGAGGTATGTGCCTGTAGCAGAAAAACATAAAAAAAGTAAGAAAAGTCTCAATTCGAGAACATCAGCTTCCAACTGAAGAAATTAGAAAAAGAATTCATTAAACCCAAAGTAAGAAAAAAAAAGAAAGGAAATAACAAAGATCAGAACAGAAATCAAGAAATAGAAAGCAGAGACACAACAGAGACAATCAACAAAACAAAAACCTGGTTCATTAAATGTTCACAAAGTACCATTGTTGTTGTTACATACCATCAAGTTGACTCTGACTTGTAACAACCCTATGAACAATAGAATCTTGCCCTAGCTTGCATCATCTTCGTGATCTCTGATATACTCAAACTCACTGTTACAGTTATTGTGTCACTCCATCTTGTACAGGGTCTTCCTCTGACCCTCTACCTTCCTAGACTGGCCCTCCTATAGGCCAAGGAAAAGATAGGCTTGGTGATATACTTCCACGGAAAGTGCTATGGAGTATAATTTCACTCTGACACATATAGGGACAACGCAAGTTGGAGCTGCCTCAGTCCAGTTGGTATAAGTCAAGGAGGCAGTGGCTGCTAACTCAAAAGATGGACGAGATCTGGGTCCTCCTAGAAGAGCCTAGGGAGAAAGGTTTGGAGATCACCCAGAAAAACCGGTCAGGGAAAATCCTAGGGAGCAGAGTTCTAACCTGAGACACACAGTGTTATCATGAGACGGAAGTGACCACACAGCTAGTTGGTTGCTTTGACTCAGGCACTGCTTAAGTCACCGGAGATACAGCAACACATATAACAGAAGAAAACCCCAAGACTTTACAATCGTGCCTCTTCAGCTCAGAAATCTCTTCTCTCAGATATATATTTGTCTCATCTTCCAATTATTTTTCCATAACACCTATTTCCTGAAAGTTGCTGTGAGGTGCTGATGAGGCTGGATCTAACTCCTAGCAACTCTACGAACAACAGCCCAACCAAACTCCACTCCAGCACTGTGGTTGCTACGTACCATCCAGTTGGAACCAACATATTGCTGATCATCTGGGTGGGTTTTCAGAGGCAGTTAATCACATGGGAGGAGGTCAGCTAGTGCATCCTGCACTACTCTCACAATCTCTGCTGTGCTGTTTCTGTCCTGGTATCTAACCAACTCATCCACAGTCTCCCTCTCTCTCATTGATTCTCCTCCACTTTTCCCAGTATGTTTTAAGACTGTGTACTTCTTTCCTTCTCTCTATCTCCCCTCAATGTATGCTCCAAAAGGGGTTAAGTTGTTGTCCAATTTTTTCTTCATAGACTTACTGTTGTTATGTGATGGCCAACTCATAACGAACCTACACACAAGAGAACCAAACATTATGATGGATGAATTCCAGCCCTCATGAAGCTTCTTGTTTGTTTGTTGTTATGTGCAGTCGAGTCGTTTGCGACTCATAGTGACCCTATAACAGCCCTAAACCCTGCTCTATCCTGTGCCAATCACACTGCCTCTGATACACCCATCCCAATTAACCCAGTCACTGAATCAATCCATCTCATCGAGGGTCTTCCCCTCCTGCACCGTCCTTCCACCCTCCCAAGCATGATGTCCCCCTCTCCAAGTACCTGTCCCTTCTTACAACATGCCCAAAGTATGTCAGATGAAGCCCCAGAATCCTTGCCTCCAAGGAGCAGCCTGGTTTAACCCTCTACTCAATCACTAACATACATGGAGCTTACAGTGTCTCTTTGAATGCAAGATCTGAATACCAGCGTTGAGAAGGCAGAATCTTAGAGACAGGGGTCAGGTATTTCAGCACTCTAAGATTAGGCTATGAAATCCAGGTATATAAGCTGCATTTATGTCTCTTAAAAAATGTTTTTGCTATGAATAAGTCATTGTGCAAAATTCGATCATTCTCTCTCCAGCTCCATTTCTGTCACCAAGTCCATGTTTTCCAACTACTGAATCTTCTTTGTTTTCACCTGATGATATGCATAGGAATCAGATCGATTACATCTGTGGAAAGAACCGCTGGAGAAGAAGCTCAATATCAGCTGTGAAAAAGGCCAGGAGCTGACTGTGGAACAGACCACCAACTACTCATATGCAAATTCAAGCTGAAGCTGAGGAAAATTAAACCAAAT